TCAGGGAGGCAGCTGATACTCACAATTGCCGCCACAGTGTGGGAACTGTCTTGGTTTCTCTACTAGACATACGAATGTGATATATATATATATATATGTACAGGCTCAGGATGTGGCTGAGGAATCGCCGCATTCTACCGGCGGCAGGCAATGCTGGCCCCGTGACACTTTGGTGTGCAGCCAGCTCGATGACTCGCAACAACCTGGCCGGTGTAAATCGTCGCATTCTGGGTCTCACCGGGGCAAGCTGGGGCAGCTTGCTGTCAATCCTTTGGGTATGTGATTGCAGCCAGCGAGCAGCAGCCCTTAGGACCTCTTGGCGGGGTGCGTCCTCTTCAGGTGGACTGGTGCCTTTCCTGCCAAACATCTGAGGTGGGCGTGGGCAAAGTTGTTGTTGGGCAAAGTTGTTGTTTTGTGCCGCTTGCTTCTGCTTGTTTGATGGGTACAAAGAACCTGGGAACTAATACTTAGTGCCCAAAACCCATTTTGAGTTCAAGCAACATGGCCGTACAGGATGAAAGAAGCCCCCTTGTGGAATCATCTAGTAGAATTGCGGTTGGGGATTTGGGCGCCAAATTGCGGTTGGAGATTTTCGGCGCCGCTCACTTCGTATCAAAGCCCAGCGCACTTTTGGCACCATGGATTGTCACTCTTTTGGCGATGTGGAAAAAGCTGTTGCTCCTACGGTCTGGCAGGCCCAATAAAGCATGGCTGTTCAATGTGGCAACACATTCTTTGATGGGCATGCAAAGTGACAGGAATCCGCGTGCACGTGAAAAGGATCGCCGTGTCTTGTCCATGCTGGTCTGGGACTGCTTGACAGCACTCAGATTGAAATGAACCCAAGGACCAGCATGAGGCATGTCTTGAGTGGCGATACTTAGTACACGTCATTCAATGGATGAAGCGTATGTACAATACTATAAAGACGGCAGAGCTGTACACGATTGAAAGCGGTATGCACCAAATCGCTTGCGCTCCGACTAGGGAAGCCGACAATCAACTCCCTAGCGCATGCTGGGGGACTCAATGCTGCGGCATACTTCTCTATTAGGCTTGCACTTTGATATAGATGTGCCTCTAAAGCATCCAAATTAGTGTGACATCTAGCGGCGCCATCTTGTGGCCGCTGCTGGGGTGAGCGAATTCCGCATCCCAGAGCCTGGCAGCCAACGACTGGACATGCCTACGCCTCGCCTGTGCAGCCGTTGCATGTGGTCCCTAACTTTGAGACACCAAGCTTCCCAATCCACGAGTCACCTCCTTTGGCAACTTCCTTTTGTAAAAGGTGTTTCCGCACCAGACACCTTCCCCGGATCTCTCTGCATGTTCTCTGGATCCAATTTAAGCGCGCCAGGAATTCCGTCTTGTCTTGAGGCGTAAGGGCATGGCAAGCCTTCCGACACGCCAATGGAGTCTGCCTAGCCAAAAATCCCTGGCCTATTCTCAGTCTGCGCAACAGTGAGCGCAGAAATGCAGCTCTCCTGCAGTTCCCATGGCAAACATGAGTTGAAGTTTGAATGCGTCTCAAAACAGTTCCAAGAAAGGGTGCTGTCCTTTTGGTTTCCCTTGAAAGTCGCCGAGAGGGTACCCTTAAACATGACATACCTTCCGGCTAGGGAAGCTCCCTTGCCTCTGTCCACCGTGGAACGACAGCCAAGATCTGCAAGCCGCTGGCATATTCAAGAGCTGCCTGCGAAATGGGAGTTCAAAATACTGAAATCGCAAGCCACTGGAGCTCGGAACAAAGACACCGAGCCCGAGGAATCCGAATCTCGGCCTTGTGAAGCCAGGAGTCTAGTTGAGACCACGGCGGGTTCAGGTAGATGCGGCTGTGGCCAAAGGATCTTGCCAGGAGTCGCCAGCTGCATTTCAGCCCGTCAAAAGCCTGGCAACCGCACACGCATCCCATGAAGTGAAGAAGTGAAGAAGCACAAAGAATGTGAGCGGTCCAATATGCGATTCCCCCGGATGGCCGTGGGAAAATCAGGTTTTCCCCCAGATTTTGCGGTAAATTAGGATCCTATGTCCCTCCCAAACCCCGCCTGGGGTACTGGCCAGGGACAGGGATCCGCTGCATGGCCTGGCCAGCGCCGAGCTGAGACGTGTGCTGCGCGTGAGTGGCGGTTTGGCCTTGGTCCCAGTCCAAACCTGTCCAAGTCCGGCAAGCATCGAAGATGCTCGTGGACGTGAGGCGGATGTCGGTGACACGAATTCCAAACCTGCAACGTTGGGACAAGGAGATATTTGTTTGGCAAAAGGACTTTTCGCGGCGCGCCTGTCAACAGCTGCCAGAATTTCAGGCGTCGGAACAATCTCCTCGCATGTAAGGGACATCATGATACATGTGGTGATTCAAAAAAAGCCAGTCCTCAACCTTGTGGGTGCTTCCTCTGTGAAGGTGAGTCAGGTAGTTGTTAAGCCTTCAGGTAAGCTGCTGCAAAGTGCTTGCAAGGGGCACACTCCAGCCTGCCAGCTGATAAAGGGCGTGATTTTGGCGGACCTGCCAGTGTGTTTTGAGGGCGTTTTGTCGCGGAACTTGTTCTGAGGAGGCACAATGCATGGCAAAACGCTGCAAGTGCTGCATGCCAGTGCCGGCTGCAAACGTGCCTGACTGCCAGCCTGCCCATTCTTTGCAAAAATCTTGGCAGTGCTTCCAAAAGTCCTGTGACAGGCTGACACCTGTTTTGGTGCCTTAGGCTGCACTTGCGATTAGCCAGTGGTGAAGGCCGCCGTTTGGACTTTCATTCCTAAACATCATGCACGTCTTTGCAAGGGTTTTGCGCAAGCCTCAGAGAGGCTGAAGCTGCTGCTAGGCATCTGCAAAGGTCCTTCCGGCCGGGGTACCAGCCGTCGATCAACTTCCGGAAGTGTGCGAGGCAAAGTTCAGAACGTACATGGGACCTCGGGGAACAAGAATTGAAGCCTTCTTGAGGTTTGCGGATGCGGTTTGCTTCGGCCTTGCCCTAGTGTTCTCCCCAGTGACTTGGCCATATGTGCGGAATTTGTTTGAGTTTGGGTTTAGTGGGGAAACACGGATGTCCCAATAAGCGAGTGGCTAAAGATTCAAATAGCAGCCAAGCATTGAGGTCTCTGCCAGCCAGTGGCCCATTTGTCATCGAGGGCCAGATTCTCTCGGAAGTAGCGTACAGCCTTCGGCAACCAATGGGCTTTCTCAAACTGGTGGACCCTTCCTGGTTTGGTATTTAAATGAGAAACAAACTGATCCCAGTTTCTCCGCTCGCCAACACGGGCTCTTAACCTCTAAGTGAACTTCCCCTTGCCACAACCAGCTCCGACCTCCTCCTTGGCCCACGCAGAAAGCCCTTCAGGATGCGGTCTTTTTGTCTCTTGGGACTGCTCGACAGCCTTGGGTTCTGGCTCGTGGCTGGTCTCAGAATTAGGCACCTCTCAAAATGTGCTTTTTTCATGTTGATTCCCGCCAAGAGCTCCCAAAACCCAGCATCTCAGTTTTGAAACATACCCAAATGGCATCCGGTCACACACAAGGACTGAGTCTGCGGCAACCACGGGTTGTGTTCGAAGAGAAGATTGGTGCAGTTCACTGTTGATACGCCCAGCGTAGCGTGGGGATGGTGGCGGCTGCGCTTGTGGTGGTGGATTCGAGGCTTCTTTCTGGCTCTGCAATATTTTTTGGCAGACCTGTAAATGACGCAAATCTGGATCGGGGTTCTTCCGATCTTGCACATCCGGGCTTAGCAGCTTTGCCACGACTCTGCACATGCTGCGCAAGGCTCCATCTGCCACCGGCGTTTCAAGGGGAGCCATGGCGAGTCAGGATGCAGGTTCAACGGCAATGTGTCCAGTCTGCTTCCGTTCTGCTTATCGTGGGTGGCGTCAAGACGCTAGGAATTGCCGACCCGGCCGCGGGCTTCTGCGCAGCTGAGCCAGGGATCCAAAGCATGGCGGGTCAGGCAACGACTTGTGAATGCCAAGGCACATTGGTCTTGATCTGATTGAATCTAGTTGAAATAAATCCTGATGACCTGCAACAACTTGGTGTTTCGGCCGTGGCCACTTATCAAATACACTGTTGCTGGCTCAAGCATTTGCACAAGAACTGGCCGGTCACACAATGACCTGACAGGCAAACCAAGCCAAGAGGCTCTCTGGGATAAAACGCACACAACACACCCTACTGTGGATGGACACAATCCTGCACCACCTGAGCAACCCTGGAATGGTGATTCCCCTGTAAATACCAACAAGTAATGGTTTCCCATGGTTGCAAAGTGGTGCAGGATTTCGTCCATCCACAGAATTGTCGGTGTGATGCTCAGATTGGGACTTGATGCTCTGTGGCGAAGAGCAAATTGCACTGCGTCTCTTGCGTGCATGCTCAAGCCGCTCCAGCAGCAGAGGAGATACCTGGGTTTCTCATGAGGGAACCTCAAACATGGCTGGTGTCCATTTGCTTTCCCTTTAAGGCAATCTCGAAAAGAGCTCCATGATAATATGGCACTTGATAAATTATGCTGCAATAAGGTGCCATATGTGCTTTTGCTTTTTGGATATTGCTTGACTCATCAAGTATCTTCTATCAGACTTGTCCCATTATATACTGGCTGGTTAAGGCATCATACATTCAACGACAATGTTAAACCATACCCCAACGAACAAGAATGTGTCTCGACCTTGTTTCCACAAAATACGTGTATTTCAGAATGTGTAGTACTTAAAACCACAACTACCCGCCTCAAAATAAACATGTTGGGTTTGCAAATTGTTGAGGATGGCCTCTTTTTTTGAGGTATCCAAATCCCTATTTTGACACATACTCAGACAATGTGTCAAAACAGGGACCCCATTTCTAGTGGTCCCTGTAGACCCCCCCGCCAAAAAAGGAGGCCTCAACAAATACACGCTCCCATGTCGCTCATGGGTCACTGGCTCCCAAATCGATTTGAAGCTCAAAGGGCGCTGCTGGTGTCTCGCGAGAAAAGTCGAACGTCAGCACCTCGGGTCATGCCAGATTCTGTTTAGAAACCTTTGCCAGAATTTGTTTGTGTCTGTTGCTGAATTCTGGTGGAAGCGAAGGCAATCGTACCCTGAAATCATTCCAAGAGGATTTCCACTACCAAGAGGCAGAATCTTCCAAACTGATTGCTACCTGGAGGATCCTGGGGGTGCACAAGCCCTGCCCATGATAAAGGATTGTTTCATGTGGTTCCCTTGCGAGGAATCGGAGCGGCAAGCAGCATGCTGTAAGGCCCTCACAGGGAGCCCCAAAGAAGGACTGCACAAGCGGCTTCTCAACCTGCCGAATCGTTGCAATTGAAATCTGGCCATGGGTCAAAATCCCGGACCCCAGTGAAATGAGTGGTGCACCTACCCCAAAATGGTACCATTAGTTTTGAGTTTTGACCCACAGCCAGCTCTCAATTCGTTGAAGGCTTTGAGAGGTGCACTCCGAATCCTTGTGTGGCCGTTGACTCCAAATCCATGCGGCCGAGAATCTGCTGGCGGGAGAACGTCAGAAGACTGGACCTCGCTTCGGCTTCTGGCCAACTGCTGGGATTGCTCTTTGAGCTTGCGACGGCACGATGGCCACAAACAGCCGCGCCGGCCTAGGAAATCGCGAGCGGAGTTGGATTTCAGGGGAGCCTGGAAAACGAGGTTCTAACAAGGGGGTTCCTTTTTTTTGCACCCATGTCTGGATCGATGTCCAAAGTCATGGAAGCCATGCCCAAACAGCTGGATTGGCCATCCATCCGAGGCACGTGGAAAGAAGGGCCGCAGCAATGGGTGCCACGACCTCAATCGACGAGAGATGGACACCTGGACATGGGCCATCCATTTTTATCTGTGCAGGATGTGGCATGCAACATCAGTAATGGTACGCAAAAACAGTATACGGAATGACGCGTCACAACTTGGACTCTGAGCTTTTCGCACACGTTTTGCCACCACCCATCAGCATCTGATGCACCCAGGCGTCCTCGACAACTGAGATAACATTTGAGTCAGAATTACAACCTGGTACTGCAAGGGTCCGCCCAAAACCACGCTAAGACACTACCGGGCGCACCTACTTGTCATTTACCTTCACTTGTTACCTGGGTCTTGATTCTGTGTAACATGCCAACACATTGAACCCATGGCCCATGGCGCACCGTGCTGTGCCCGGCCTCCTTTCCGGTCACGAAGGCCTGCAAGACCTGCAAATCTTCCGCCGAAACAAGAGCGCCCCCCGAACTTCAACGAACTTCGGCGCCTGGACTTGCGTTTCTCGGAGCATGATGCCGAAAAGGAACTCCACCGCCAAAAGCCGCGGATCTGCATGCGAGTGGAGTGCTGCAAGCTGTGGACATCACAGGCGCACCAAGCAAGCCGTTGAGTGCGCCCATGCCGCCGCTTAGAAAATGCCGCTCCTGAATGGACAACTTTGAAATCCCTCTTGTCCGTATGCATGTCTGCGACTTCCGAATGTGGACATGGTCCTTAGCCACTTCCTCAGCCACTACTTTGCCCTTCAACTCTGCAGACCTGCCGTCCTGATTTCAGCACTCGGTCCATTGACCACGGCAAATGCTGATGCTCTCCTCTTCCCGCAGCACTCGCAACGCAGTAGCGCATTGTGTTGCTCGGACCTGTCAGAATTTTGCCCATCGTGACTCATGATACAAGATTGTGATATCTGCTTCCGATACGTGTAGGCAATAGACTGCTTGTGATATAAGACTTGTGTATTGACAATGGTAGGCATGAGATGCGTCTTGTGATTCCAACCATATTAGCTCTGCCCAGTCCTGTAGAAACAGAGCATCTGCGACCAGCCTCGTGGACATATCGTGCTTGCTCCCATTTGCTCCCTCACCGAATCATGCCAAGTCACGCTAGCGTCTTCATTTCGTTGATTCCCAAGGCTGCTAGAATGTCTGCACCTAAGAATGCTCCGAGGTCAATTCAACAATCTACTCTGAAATGCAACCCCTTCCAAGCAGTTAGAAAAAGGAGCTCTGGAGCATTCACACCACGTGCTTACAAACAAGTGAATGTGCATGACTTGCAATCCGGCAGCCATCTCTTACTGAACTGGGCGTGTGTCAAATTAGGAACCCCCCAAAATGGTGGCTTTCCCGTTGCTTTGGCTTGAACCGGCCCAAAAAGCTAGCCTCAAAAACACGCACAACATGGATGTCTAAAGCCAAAGTGCCGCAATCTGCCATGAAGAGGCGTACCAGGCCAAAGAACTCGATCCGTGGCCTTGGGTGAAATCCCATAGCCCGAATTGACGAAAATTGGAAGCGGTGAAAGGATCTCCATCAACGGTATGCAGCGTGTGCAGCTTGACGCTCTAGTGAGCAAGGTACTGAAACTTTGCCAGGTGTCGCGACACCTGCTTGGAGCTGCAAAGCCCGGAATGATGCAGCATTGCTGTCCTGAGTCGCTGGAATTCGGAGCCTCTCATGACGGGTCACCTTGATTTGCAACCACATTGTGGCCCTTCTTCAGGTGCCAACGACACTGCGAGATGAACTACGTAGATTGTCTTCGGCTGTCAATTCTCTTTCATGCCCGGCTGCAGTGTCCAATGATGAAGCAGCCTCTTCTGCAGCTGACAGTGCCTGGAGTGGCAGTGCTGACCACAACATGTTTCATTCTCAAGGGACTGCCTCAGCAGCCTTTTGACGGTCGTAGTTCAGCTGCCTCACTCCAATCCATGCGCGCGCATATACACACACACACATAACGGGTGCCAGGGTGAAAGTTTCTTGCATAGGACTGGGTCATCTTCAAGGAACCAAGCCGGCAGCCTCTGCAAGGCTGCTGCCATTTCATGCACACCGCATCGCAGCACTGGTGCCTGAATCCAAATGAGCGAAGCGTTGGAGCTTGTCTTGTGACATCTGCTTGCCAACGAGGCCAACACTTTGAGATCTAAGAGCCTCACATACTTTGGCATCTGCAGTTCTGCGAGCGACTCTTGCAGGCGGCTGACCTCACAGGATACGACCGATCTTGACAATCTTTGCTACGACATTGAGCTGACCCATCGAGTTCCTCTGGACGTGCACCGGTGGTCGCCCTGCCGAGATCGGATCAATTTGCAGTGCAAAGCCCTGGCATCGAAACTTAGGGGAAATGAACAAGGACCCACCGCTGCTCCAAGGTTCCTCTCACTTTTGGGTCTCCTGGGACCCGGTGCAACCATAGGTGGCCTGTTGGAAAAAACAAAAGGCCCTGCTAAATGGAAGAAGACCTATCTAAACCAGTGAAACCCAGCTATTTTTAACCAAACTAACCTACAAAGGACACCTATGGGTGACCCGGTTGCTCGCTCGCCGCCTGGATCTCCTGCAGCAGCCACTGGGCCAGCGCCTCAGCGCCCCGATTCGCGCGGCGCGAAGCCGTGCACGACAAACGCGGGGCGCTGGTGGCTCCCACCGGCAGATCCCCGGGCGATTGGAGGCGACTGAGGCAGCCCTGGGCCATCTCCTCCGACCCGCTCTCAGGGACGGGTCTGGGGTGGAAACCAGCAGGAAAACCACAGGTCTTGCGGGTCACCTGAAAAAAGGGACAACCCTTATGGAAGATAAAATGCCTCAGAATCTATAAACAGCGCAAAGAGGCTTGGGTTGGGGTCATCCCCTCATAAATCTGCACCTGGGAGCTTCTAACAGACCTCAACAGAAGCAGTCCTGCAGTGGCACCGGCAAAGCTGCCATTCCCGAGACCTGCAATCAGTTTCGCTCCGGGGCCCTTCTTGGTTACCCGAGGTAAAAGTAATCCAAAAAATGGTATTGATCATAAAGGAACCCCCCCAGCAGGGTGTTTTTTCCTTTTGTCTTCCCTTTAAACCAACCGTAACAAGGGCACCGTCCTTGCCATCTGCTAATTGCTGGCAAGCTGCCGCGCGTTTCGTGCAATCCGCGACTTGAACGATGGGCCACGCCTCGGCTCCAGGCAGCGGGGTAAACGTAACTTTTCTCCCGGAGTGTCCTGCATGGTCGTTTTGAATTTGCATAATTTGTTGGGACAGTCTCAGTCTTCTTTTTTAGGTTTGGGCTTTGCAGAACTTTTTTGTGTTGGAGGAGTTTCACACTTTCGTGCGGTCAGCCTCACAACATGCGAGACTGTCCCAAAAAAGACCATGCTGTAGACTCGTGAGCTGGCCTGCACAAGACACTCAGGGATTATTTTTCTGTGCTTGGCAAAATTGGATTGTTGGGAAAGTCCTACGCTTTCTTCGGGGTCAGCCTCACTGTCCCCCAAAAGAAATGTCCAGAGCCCCAAAAAGTGAGACTGTCCGGAAAAAACAAAACAATCCTGCAAACGTCTCCATTAAAATCCAAATGAAAAAAAAAAAACATACTCCTGGGATTCCAAACCACCTTCAAAAGCTAATTTGACATAAGAGTTCTATTTAAGATCTGCTGGAATTCGGTCCTAATTAGACTCGATTTACATTCTCATTTAAACATGAACAAGTCCTCCTGAAATGCAGTGCTCCAACTGGAAGGAGCTGCCTACTAAGTGGAAAGGCTCAGGATTGTTGAAGCAGGGTGTTCAAATGATTGACGCCAAAGTGGATGCAGTACTGTTCACGCAGAGTTGCCAAATGACTCAAATGAGCTTCGATAGACTAGCCAAATGATGTAGAACCAAGTTAACATTCATTGGATACTATGTTGCCTTGACAAAAACACAACCTCCCAGGAAGTACCACTCTCATGTTTTCAGGGTAAGAAGCAAACTTGAGCTACGAACATGGTTATAAAGGTTAAGGCCTTAGAATCGCTGCTAAACCAGGAGTAGAATCGCCAATGGAGGAAAATTAAATGGCTGAGGCTTCGAGCCGCAAGCCGAAGAACGTCGTGCTTCAGCAGCACCTGCCAATGCAACTCCCAGCCGCCTTTGACAGGTCCCAAGAGACGACATGGGCGCATCATCCGCCTCACGAGGAACCGGTGCCGGTGCCGGCGGCTCTGGAAAGGGCATGGCGACTGCGGCAAGCTTCTCTCTTACCTGGCGAACAAGGAGCTCATATTTGTCTGGAATACAAAGACCTGACATGGAAATTACAATCGGTATAGAACAACATCTGCTACATCTGCACTTGGGGGTGCTAATTTGTTCTACTAGACCCCATCTGATTAAAATGCATTCAGTGTAAGAATCCCTGTCCAAAGGGGAATCCTTCTCTGCCTCCTGCAGCCAGCGCCTTTGGGCAGCTGTGGGCAGCAACCCCTGCTTTTTTGGCCTATGCTGAGGGCTCTGCTCTCGAGGCGCGAGGCTCAGACCCCAACGGCTTCGGCAGCGCATCTGCGAAGCCTTCCTCACCTGGGCGCTGGAATCTTCATGTGGCCATGGGTCAAAAGCCAAATCGTACCCCCAGTGAACATCCCAATCCCCACTAAAATAGACTAAAATGGGTGGTGACCTACCCCAAAATGGTACCATTGGTTTTGACCCACAGCCATGTATCTCAAGATGTTGGACGTTGGAAAGGGAACGTGTGACGAATTTGGGGAGGTGGTCGCTTCAGCCAAGCCACGTGCAAGTAGTGCCAAGGCTGCAGAGGCTGGACCATGCGCTCGGGCCTCAGGAGTATGCAACGAACCGTCTTTGTAGCTCGACGCAGTTTGCTTCGATTACAACCAGCCGCCTTCCTAGCAATGCTGCTCTAGTTTTGTCAATTTTTGCCAAGTTGCTCGACGCGTGCTTCTTTGACTCTGATAATGACCCTATTCGGCCAAACATTATTGCATATCAAGCTTAGCAGCAACTGTTGCGAGCACTCACGTGATCTAAGAGCTACACAACATGCTGGCCAACTCGATTCAAACCGTGTCTTGCTCAGGCTCAAACCAAACATACAGCCACCAGGTGAGGCGGGTCTTCGGGAAAGGGTTGAAGACTTACGGCCTTGAGAAACGCAGGGCGGAAGCAATGCCACGTCGGCAGATCTGCCAAGGCATGGACGCGTGTGAGCGCCTCAAAGAGGAACTGCATGGACAGCGGACCGTTTGCCAGCCTCAAGCAATTTGCCATCGACGAAGGGAGCTTCTGACAATTTTTTGCGCATTGCTCCTTTTGCCGGACTTCTTCTGACTTCTCAGGATACTTGTCCAGTGAAAAGGCCTTCTCTATTTTTTCCACAACAGCACCAGGAACCTCTCCATTTTACCCGCGAATTTCGACACTGAGTCTCCTGCTGCTGCTCAATGAAGCGCAGGGCCACCAAGCCAGTCTTTGCCTGCTCCTGGCAATTTCGATCCCCCCAAAGGTCTGGTTCCGTGCGCTTGAGAGGCTCCTCCACCGGCAATGCCAGGCCTTGGGGACAAGCACCGGCAGAGCGGCAGAAAGTCAGCGCGTCCGCTGAGACTCGAGCTCACAGAAGCCGTCCAGTCTTTTGAATTCGCCTCCGAGAACACCTTCACCTCGTAGCCTCGCAGTGAGAAACAACAAACACCGCGCGATTCGCGGAAAAAACAAAATGTCGGTTTACTTCCAGTTCGAACATTTTTAAAACTGCAGTCTGCAAACAAATGGAAACAAACAACGGGAGCATCTCCGTTCGCTTGCAGGAACGCAGTTCGGCACTCACCGAACCAGGCACTGGGTTTAGCTCCAGGCCATCACTTGGTGCAAGTGGAGCTGGCTCCAAGGACACCAGCACCTCATCTCTTGGCTGGTCAAAACAGCCTTCATTTTTTGAACCGTTCCAGGAGCAAAAAGCCTGGTTCAACGAAGCTCAACGAGTGTGAAAAACATGCGTGGCCGGTCAGGCCCGTGCAACTAGGAGAACTGCGAAGCAATGAGGTCCCCACTCCACTCTGCGCCTCAAGCACCCTCCGTCGATTGCGAAGAAGCCAACTTAAGCCATCCTGCAAGTTGCAGGCTCGCTGGTCCCAGCAGTAGCAGCAACACAGCCGGCGGGACCAACTCTGGGAGCATCCGCAGCACCTTTGCACAACGGCAAAGAGGACGTGCAATCTGGGTTGCAGCCCACCTGCAGTTCGAGCTCTGGCGTCAGCATGCAGCTGGCCGAGCATCTGTGACGGTTCAGAACGTACCTCACCAGGTCATGGTGGGGGCAACGAGCCGTCATGATGCAAGGCAAGGTTGGTAGAACCAGTCCCTTGTTCAATTGATACTCTCTCTTCTCTTGGCGACACTGCTTGGTCGCAAGCTTTCCTACAAACCATCCATAGCTCCACACGGGCTGAGGCCCCCAGCTGGATGTACACATCTCTGACGGACCAGGGAGAATCAAGTCCTGCCAGGTGTTCCATGGTGGTCTTTCCCGAAGCGAACTGGCAGTAGTTTCCATGGCCCATGTATGTCTCAATTGGGACCCCCCCTTTGGCTTCCCAACTCTTGAAACACCCAGAAGCCAATGTCCTAGAGGCTGCAGCGCAGCAGAGAGGTGAAGCCGGCAAGCTTGTGCATCCACCTGCGAGCAAGTGTGGCAAGTAGCAACACCGCCTCCAATTCACGGCTTAAAATTAAGCACTGAGGGGACTGCAGGTTTGTTGGGTTCAACCCACAAACTGCGGGGTACCCAAGTTGAGAGCCACAGCCACATGTTCATGTGGGTAATCTCCGGCAGTTGTGAATCAGACTTTTTTGGTTCTCCCTAGCTGATTTTTTTTCTAGAAACGAAGGCCTCTTTGTGCGGAGCTGTGAGTGAACTGCGCTGGCTGAGGGTGCCACATGTTGGTCGTTCGCCGTCTCAGCGCCCAGGCGCATCCAAAGCGCTGACTCCGTTGGACTCAAGCCATCGCAGCCCAGAGAGCTGGCAGCTCGGACCACCTCACGTCGAATGGACTCAAAATTTTGGGCCCCACTGGCAAAACGGCGACATCTGGTGTTCCATTCGTCCATTGAAGGGGGTGGAAAACTAGTTAGTCTGGCCTCTTCGTACTGGTGCATCAGCCAGCAGCACGTCAAACGATAAAGTTCTGCGGCTAAATCCTGGCCGAACCAGTCGGTGGCCCAGGGCCACCGAAGGAGTCTCGGGTTGACCTCTGGGGGCCTGGGCAAAGGCGTAGCAATGAGATGGATGGATCGAGAAAAAGTAGTGCCCGGACTTGTCGTTGCCAATCCCACCTCACGTACGGTACCGAGTTTTTTTCGGTGTCGTGGGGATGGTGACTTTTCTTACGATAGAACTCCAAATGGTCGTCCAAATTCATCAGACAATTGATCATCCCAAAAGGTCCCAAGTTTGCAGCCTTGACTCAACTGGATTCCTAAGCCCGACCCGAGGCCCAGACCAAACTCGGTACGGTCAAACACCAGGGGTGCCACCCATTCGAGGGGCATCGGCCTGAGCATGTAAAGGAAAACGGCATGGAAACCCATGTGTCGGTTCAGAAAATCAAAATTTGACACATGGGTCTGTCTTTGTTGAGGGAACCCGCAAAACAAAACAAGTGATTTCATTTGGTTTACCTTCAAAACCAACCAAACGGGCCCAACCCCCAACACTGCATTTAGGAATCCAAAAAGGTTGCTTTGCTGCTCCACATGAGCAGTGCCCAAAACTGAAGGACTTTCATTTCTTAGGGGAACCACCATTTCGAAATCCGAAATGTTTTTTCTCCCCCAAGAAACAGCCAAACAAGGGTAGCCTCAAAAAAAGCCACAACCCACATGGCCATGGCTCAAAATATCCCGTACCCCCAGTGAACATCCCAATCCCCACTAAAATCGGTTCTAAGATGCATGGTGCTACCCCAGCATCCTACCATTGCTTTTGACCCACAGCCACATGGCATGGTGCCTCCCGCGACTTCTTGCCCGGAAAGAAGTCTCGGCCTTGCCAAGTGGCCCCCCACCAGGGCGCCGCGGCCGCTGCAAGGCCGAGCTCACCACGCCCAACTCTCCGTCTGGGCCCTGGCGATTCCGATCCCAAAACCAGCGACCCACCGCGGTCCCTTTGGGGATCCAATTCTTGAAGGTACATGTAATATACATTATACACTGTTTGATGTAAAAACACTGGTGACTGGTTCATGACTGCAGCTTCATGAACATATCTGGACTGGGGTTTTCTGGCCACCGCCTCTTTCTTTCTTCTCATGATTCTTGTGCTTTGCTTGCTCGCGGCCAGGCGAAAACATGCGAAACTCAATTTGCAGAGTGTGCACAAACCTGGGCTTCTCTATTTGCTTGTGTCGCAGTGATGCCTTTGCTGCCATGGAGTGCAACGCGGGATCCCCGCAAACTCAGAGCAGGCAGTCAGAAAGCGGGCTTGAAATGACACAAGCAAAGCCCAAGCACAGCGGTGCACTGGAACAGGCTCTGCCAGCGCAGATCTAGCACTAAACGGTGTGACTTGCTTCATGTTCGATGGCGCCCACTTTGGCGCTTTACCTGATTCAAGCGAAATGGTGGCACGTACATCCAACATATCCAACATTCACTTTGCCAAGTTCTTTGGTTGGCCATAAACATTAGCCTCCAGCTGATTCAGAACGCGCACACACACACACACATCCAGAGTGACACAGTTCAATGAGGTGGGTGCCATGCTCAGCTGTGATCACAGGAGTGCCAAGCGGCACGATATATTTAGCAAATGGAAAAGAGAAGCCCTGCACTTACGATTCACATTGCCTACCAACACAAGCTAAGGTTGCCACTGAAGGACTTATCTGACAGTGGTGCAGAACTTTTGCTCCGCCTTCAACAGAAGAGCTGCGCCAGCAAATTGTGCGAGCAGCTTCCTCACCTCATGTCCCAGCACCCAGCGTCTAGGTGGGACTGACAGCAAAGCTGGCTATGATGCCTGTCATGACATGATCTATCCAGCACAGTGAGTTATTTTGTGTACCGCACGAAACACTCCCTGCGGCTGATGGCAGGACACGTAGAAACTGTGGAATACGTTATAGCAAATTCCAAAGAATCGTCAACCGGAACTTAAGCATATCCAATGCAGAGACTTCAACATTCTGCAAGTCTCCGCATGTGTCCAGAGACGCGGGAATACGCCCACTTGGACCAAATGATGTACTCATTCCAATACCTCATGCTGCATGACCGTATTAATTACAAGAGCCACGTCTTGCCAGCGCTGGGTGCAAACGGAACCCCGGCCCGCATAGGAACGAGCTGGACCGAGCGGCGAGAATTGAACTACGGCAAGCTCTGGCTCTTGGCGGCTTGCAACCAGCTCCAGTTGCGGTGTCCCATGCCGACTCAAGGAAAGCTCCAGATCGCGGCAGTCTGCCAAGCCCATCTGTTCGTCATGGCCAAATTGTCTTCAATGTCCAATTGTGGAACGTCGCAAACCGCAGCTTGTCAAGCTGCTCAGAAGCAGAACACGTTGCTGGGCAGAAAGCTTGTCAACTGCACTGTGCTCCATTTCTGCAGGAGCCCCTGCGAGTTTTAGCTTCCAATTGATCATTCGGCAAATTACTGACTGGCCGACATTTAACTTGCTTTTTCTTGTCTAGAGTCCTGAGTGTCTTCCGACGTATGACAGAAACAACGGAGAGAGAGAATTGGCGCTTCACAGGAGAAAACACACCTCGCACTTCGGAGCCGGCTCCGGCATAAAGAAGGCCGCGAGTCAACGCACCTTGCCCAGTGCCCCCCTGAGCCTCAGATCTCAGATGGGAAGCGGTGCCTCACGGCCAGAGATGCGACAGCTTTGCCAAAGCCAATGGCAAGGGAGCCGACCATCCAATGATGCGGCACAGGTGCGGATGGCCGACTCTGCCACTCTGGACAGATTGGGACTAAACCCTTGAGCTGCGACCATTGAGCTGAGGTGTGTCGGGTGCCTCTACAAAGCCGGAGAGAGACTCTGAGCGAGTCCAGTGCAGCAGCTTCAATGTCATTGAGCCAAACCTTGAGCCGAATGAGAGAATGATTGCCGAGTTGCATTCAACGTGATCCAAGGCAAATCAACACATGCGGCGTTGGGCGGGGGGGTGTCCAAACTATGAAACTTGTTTTGGTGCCCTCCCCAAAACGGTGGCACAAAATGACACCAGGGTCCCATTCTGGGTGGCCCTACTTTTGGCCTCCCATGTCCGAGCATTGGGAGTCAGACTTTGGAGGATGACTGTGACAAATCTGAAGCTGCTATACCTCCAGTCGCGCGTCAGAGCTGCTTGCCATGCACCACTGAACTTCTGAATCATGCTTGTGCACTGTACGGTTTAGATCCGGTTTGGAATGGTATTTGGGCTGGTTTGGAATGGTATTGAGGTCGGTTTAGTATGGGTACATGTTGTTGTTAGAGTTGGCTTAGGTGTGCAGCAGGTTGGGAACTTGGCTCTGTTTAGGCTGGCTCTCTCTTGTGGGTTCTAAGTCGTTCTAGGGCTGCTAAGGAGCTGATTCAGGGTGGGCTTATGGTCAGTTGAAGGTTTTCAAGGCTTGGGCGTGTTTAGGGTTTGCTTCTTCAGGTTGGTTCACGGTGGGTTCAGGTCCAGGACTTTAAGGCGGGTTCAAGCTAGGTCTAGGACGGGTTTCAATGAGTGTAGAGTAGTTCAACTTCGTTTTGGTGGTTCTAGGATAGGTTTGGGGTTCTTGTGGGATTTCTGAAGAGCAGGTTCAGGATGAGGTGTGGTTGGATTGAGGTGGCTGTAGTGTTGGCTCAGGGTTACTTTGGGTTTAGGTTCGGCAGGGGTTTCTCCAGAGTTCGTCAAAACACCACCATACAACACTGATGAGGATGACAATAGTAGGTATGCTCCCCTACCAACCCCGCCAAGGCCAAAAGCCACCAGACGACCCAAAGAAAAACAATCCTTCACCTTTTCACACGCTTAGATGAACCAAAAAGAACACCATGGCAAGCATGATACTATCAATTCAAGCTCGAGATGTGCCGTCCCAAGACACGGACAAAGACCATTGAAGCCAAGGCATTCAAGTCCGCCTCTGGAGTTGCCCTCAAGAAACATCGAGAAGCTGCATTCTCAGCATGCATCCGGTCCTTGAAGTGCAAGCCCAAGCGAGTCAGCTCGATTTCGGCGACATTTCCTTGAGCATGCATAAGCATGCAAGCATTTCGTGACCGCTGACTCCGGCATGCCCCACATTGGGACCTTTGCCAACTTGTTGCTGTTTGGCTGCTTGCGCAAGGAGAGTCACATCCTATCCAATGAACCCATCCATTCGCCTCCTTCATCTGCCCAGCACAGAATGAAGGCGAGGTCCTCGATGCGCGTCAAGACTTCCGCCTCAGTTCGACCGAAAGCCAGCGAAGCGAAGAGCCCGTGCGTGTGGACCCCAGATACCTGGATGTTCCTCTCCCGTGATGAACCCCCACTAGAAGGCGACACCCCCGATCGAAGTCAACCAGGGACTTGTTCATCCGCGGTTCCCCTTCCCATTGCACACGCTGTCATAAGAAGTGCGCCAAACGGCGCAATGGGGGCGATGTGCCACTCAACATGAGGTTGACCAGCACCTGCCTTGCGAGCTATGCAAATGAGCGTCGCAACAAGAACGAAGATCTCGCCTTTGTGGTCTCTCGCGGGAGTGAGATGATGGCCTGCCAGGCATCTGCGTCGCACCACGCCCCAGCCAATGGCCAGGGACTCTCCAAGACCCATGCTGGAACCGCACAACTTTGGCACGATCAGCATCAATCTCCACCTAGGTGCCAACAAGTGACCTAGTGATCATATATTCCGAGGCAAACATCCGCCTGAATCTTGTGCGGCAGGCGTTGTGATGGATTCCTCTCCTCTAGCTGAAGACTTGGCTGCTGCCACACTTAGGGGGTCCTCAACATGCTGGATCATTTTTTGGATGGTCCTCAAGGAAAACTAACAGGAACAAAACCGTTTTGGGAGGTCTCTTTGCTAGTTTGCGCCATCTCCTCTGCTCGGAGGATACCATCACTTCCTCTCCAGAAGCGAAATGCACCTAAGTTGCAAAGCTCGCACACCGCCTTTGTTTGACGTGGCTGTGGGTCAAAACCCTGTACCCCCAGTGAACATCCCAATCCCCACAAAAATAGACTAGAATGGGTGATGAACTACCCCAAAATGGTACCATTGGCTTTGAACCATGGCCACATGCTTGCCCGGCTTTGCCCACTGACACTGCATGAGATTGTTGATGTCAGACGCACTCGCCAAGCCAAGGTCTCAAGCTGAGCACCTCACGCAGCAGTCCTTCTGGCAACAGGCCCTTGAGCAAAGCAGACCTCGAAGCCAACTATACAAAAGCAACCCTGCAGTGACTGCTTAGTGACTATCAAGGGCCGTTCAGGGCCATAAGCCGTTCGTGGCTACCCTTGCTAAAGCTCTGAATCAGTATTGGACTAGGGTCGGCTTGTGCTGTGGCGTTAGTCCTCTAGTTGATTTCACAAAGCGCAAACGTGAAGCCGGCAAAGGATTGCGTGTGTGTGTGTAGCAGAAACAAATACAGCATGTGTGAGTGAGAGCTAGTGTAAGTAACTTTGCATATGTATGTATGGTGTATGTATGTATGTGTGTGTATGTATGTATGCATGTATGTATGCATGTATGTAGGAATGGAATGGAATGGAATGGAATGGAACGGAACGGAATGGAATGGAAGGCATGTACGTATGTGCAATGTGTATATGTAGTCGTAATATGCAACATGTATATGATATACATATATATATATATTTATACACATACATATATATATATATATATATTAGTGTATATACTTCTGTATATATGTATGTATGTATGCATGCATGCATGCATGCATGCATGTATGTGTGTTTTGAATGTATGAATGCATGCATCCATGGACGTACATTTATATTAATATGGATGCATGGGCGGACGGACGGACAAACGGACGGACTGATGGATGGATCGATGCATGTGACGTAAGTTGCGCAGGAGTATAAGTATGTATGCATGCATGCATGCATGCGCAGGCAGGCATATATATATATATATATGGGGTTATCCAATATTACTTTTCCCGGAAACCCTCCAATCGCCGGCCTTTCGCGCTCCAATCGCGACCACAGCGGGGCCAATCGCGGAGCAAACTTGGTAACTTCTTCCCATCTCACAAGCAGAAGCAGCAGCAGCAGCAGCAGCAGCAGCAGCAGCAGCAGCAGCAGCAGCAGCAGCAGCACCAGCACCAGCACCAGCACCAGCAGCAGTGCCAGCAGCAGCAACACCAGCAGCGCCATGAGCGAAGGCCACGGAAGGGCACCCCCCTGGTCCTGACGGGCTCGTCAATCGCCGGCCAATCGCCGTACAATCGCGGGCCAATCGCGAATTTCGCCGACTTTCCTGGTGAGACTGGTATGGCCGTTACACTGCCTAGCTGAGGGGCTGAGGCAAGGTGTCTACCACAAGTCCACTGCAAGCTTGTGTGAGTGTCAGACATGTCGCCGACAAGGTGCTGCGCATCTCCCTGTCTACAGGGGAGCGGGGTCTGCAAATATGTAAGGGCGACAACCAACCGTTGATGTAACAACATGCTTTGCGCTTCCAATGAGGGGTCACCCAAACATGTAGATGTTACCCCAATCGCAGTCCCAATCGCCGGCCTTTCGCGATGCAGGTTTTACCAATCGCGCACAAATAACAAGTTACCCGAATACATAAACTGAAGACTAGCATTTGCGGACGGCCCCCATATATATGTATACAATATGTAGAGTGTGGGTGTCTCAGCCAGTTCGTCAGTGCGTGAGTGGCTTTAGTCCAGCTCAATCCAGTCCATTCTCAATTCGGTCGGCCAGCTATCCAGGTCTTCCTCAGCGGCCAACGGGAGCAAAGCCTCGCGGCCGCCTTTGGCTCCAACTTGCTCTGGGCTCTCCTGGCCGAGAACCAAAGGCTTGGAAACACGATCCCAAGCAACACGGCCATGGGTCACAACCTATGCCTCCATTTTGGGGCGGAACACCCATGTACCACCTATTTTGTTGTTCAGCAGGGGTACCAGTTTGACCCACAGCCACACAGTAGTGAATATTCAGTTTGCTGAGTGTGCACCATGCCCACCGTGTCATCCCCTCCACTGCAATGATAGTCATATTGACTGTTGCTCATATCACAGGATCACGTGTCTGCTGCATGCTTCCCTGTAGAAACATCAAATTGAATGGCAATATCTCAACGCAAACGCATATGCTTAGAATCTCGTGCGGTTGCGCATTGCGCATTCAGTCCTGACTCATCTCTCGGACGATCACAACTGTCTCTTCGCCGGGAGGGGCTGACTGCTGTTTAACAGCAGAACCAGGTGCTCCTGTGGCGGAGCTGTCGTGGGCACGCCAAAACGAAACCATGTTATGCAACATAGAAACAGAAAGCCGCCATGTTAGGACATGCCCATGGTGCAACCATGCTCATCTTCGCTGGTCAAGCCAGTTGTACGATCATGTCACTTGGAGAAGGTCCTCCTTGTCCGGAGCAAAGACTCCAAGCACCTGTCCTCAAGACGGAATTGAACGGTTTATGGAAATCGACCCCGATTTGGACAAATCCCTGGTGCCAAAATAAGCTTCTGGCTCGGAGCACCATGGCTCCTCAAGTCGGGGTCACGACGGGAATACCGTCACAGCAAGGCATGAGCGGCTTTAAGAAACATCGCCTGGCCTGCAGTGAGAAACTGGATAAGCACCAGCATGCATCACTTGTCCATCTCAGCTTCTTGTAGACCATGCGAGCCTCTGGCTTCCATCGAACTGACTCGGTCATGATGCACTGAACGCGACATCTGCAGGCTAAGTTGATCATGACTTTTCTCGATTTGAGCTTCTCTTTATTGCTTTCCAATCTCTCGTTCGCTCCCGTTAATCCCATGCGGGGTCCAACAAAATGGACTCCAGGTTTCCTTTCGGTTTTTATTGAAATTCGGAAACAAGGGTCCAAACTCAAAACATGAAGGGCTTTGGACCTCAGAAAGCTTTTCCCTTTTCAGGTCACAAGAGTCGAAAGGGGTGTCAGCAATCTTTGGGGATACACGCTCGACCCATGCCGAGCTGCATGGGAGAGACTCTCAAAGATCTGCACCGTCGGAGGGTCCCGGACCACCACGACCTGTCAGGAGCGAGCAGCCGACCCATTAGCCGAGCCATTGACCCATTGTCTTGCCTCGACTTGTCTCGATTTGGGCTGCCAAACCACTCAGCTTTGGATGATACGGCCTAATGGGTCTTGTTTGGGTCCATAGTTCAAAAAGTCTTGTCTGGCTGGTGCATGGAAACCTCCCTTTTTCCTGTTTCTCTGCGTGGCACTATTAGCCACCGCGACATGCCCCGGCCGTAGAGTCCAAGCAAGATGTCAAGAAAAAAAGATCCACCTCCTGCATCTTCCACACACCACTGTTTGCGTGCTGATTCAGGCCCAGACCCCACGGCCCTCATATCAGCCAAGGTCCGACAAGTATTGATGTCATATGATGTCCCTGGTGGCAAGTCTGCACTCGAGGATACGCGGTTGCATGGAAACCTGCCGTTTGCGCATGTTCTCCTTGTTTTGCGGCAAAATAGATAACCATCTTGCCCAGTTGAGCACCCAGGTCCTTGTCACCCAGGTTCAGCCCTGCCTCGACGCCTTCCAGCTCACAGGCCAGGTGAGCCATCCTGGCCGGCGCAATCTGAATGTGAAAACCCTGGGCCCGAGGTAGGTTGCAAATACTCTGGACCAGGTGGGCTACCTCTCAGGGCCCTCAAGCCTGATTCTGGACAAGAGCGGCTCGAAATGCGTTCACGGAAGCTAGCAACCATCTCACGCCTTGCCTCTCGGTAGCATCTAGCAATCGGGTTGCCCCCAAACCTGCGGGAAAGCCTGGCACGCGCAGAGCATGGCTTCTGAGGTGGGCAAACAGAGCGCATTTGAGCGTCTTGTTTCAGAGAGCTCATCTGTCGCAGCTGCAGAAGGGGCTCCAGTTCGCTCTTGACGTTTGGCGAAACGAGTGAGTCCCCATGCAATGTAAGCTTCCGTTGTTGTCTCAATCTTCAACGCACCCACACACACACACACACAAACCTGCAGATTCCGAAAGTCCCTGCCTCCTGCAGCCTGGACCTTGATTGACCCGACGCTGGGAACACCGCCAGCGCACCACCCAAGGGCAAGACGCTGTCATCCAGCCAGCTGCAACGCGCACCGCGGGCCTCAAGGTGTGCCAAGAGCCTAGAGGCAGCCACAAGTTGAGCCAACATGTACCAGCCGACTTGTCACAATGTTGGCACACGCGCTCCGATGTTTCTTGCTCCAATGTGAGACACGATGAGCAACCTGCTAGCCTAGCTTGAAACGACGCCAGTGAGAACCTGACAGCCACGGGCACCGGCCATGGTCTCGGATCTGACGTCCAGCGATGGAGATCGCAACCTCAGCGACAAACTTTCTGCCGATGGTCACACCTCCGCCTTGCGATTGGATGGCCATGGTTTGGATTGGATCTTGGAATGGTGCGACTGAATTTGAACGAATTGATGACCACCCATGGGAAATTTATGGGGGGGCCACCTGGTTTAAGATATTTGGCTGGGCTCCATGCCTCCCCTTTTCAACTCTAAAAGGTGTCTCATGAGTTTCTCAGGCGGGCACG